TCTTCAGTTAGTTAAACTCTGGTGGTTCCGTCTGCCTTAGGCCAAGGGACAGTTAATCACTAGGAAACCCTCTGAATTAGCACAATTTTTTCAGTTATGGTTGGGCTTTATAACCATGCAAATAGACATACGTGATTTTACAGTTCCGGGAAAGGCCCTTACATTTCTCAACAGGGGAGGAGGCCATTAGTCACTGCTCTCAAAAGCAAAAAGTTGCTATTTTTTCCTGCAGTCTCCCTGGATGTGGTTTACATTTATTGTACAAATAGTAAGTACATATAGAATGTGGAGCTCACTTTAAATTACTACCCAAACCTTGAATGAATTCCCAGAAGGCAAAGGAAAATGCCCTAATGATTAATTAGGATACTGGCAATATCGGAGGAACCACATGCAGACGCAATTACACAAATCCCAGCTGTTCTGGAATCAATGGACATCCTATTGTTGTGGTCAGGTTTTCTCAAAGTAAACAAGGACATGGGCTTCATGGCACATAAACAGACCCTCGCTAATACTTACAATGTGTGCGAGGCAGTTTGAAGGGCAAGTTATATCTCAAGACAGCAAAATAATGTCATTTGGTGTGCAGAGGGGAGATTTAAAAAGAGGATTAGAGGCAGTCAAGCAAGATATATTAAACAAATCCATGACTAACAGGGTGGAACAGCAAAGGGTCTCATTCTATTCAAGTCAACGGTTCCCTAGGGCTGGCGCTATTATCTCACTGTGCTTTTATCACCTTGGAATTTTTATGGTTATTTTTGATGAATTCACATTTTTCTAAAGACTTTTTTTTTTTTTACATTAAGCCAATTTTCATTTTTAATTAAAGTCGTAAATAACCTTAATTCTGACTTTAAAGGTTTATTGTTTCTTACATTTTATTATTACGCCAGGAAATATTTCAAATACCAAAACCTGAAGTGAGTTAGTCATCAGAGGTTCTCAAAGACCCCGTAAGTTTACTGTAGCTTATAAATGTTATACATTACAACCTAAAGGCATATTTAAAAACCCTTTTGATCAATGCCATGCCCCACCCCCCGCACCACACTTTGTTCAGCAAATGTATTTCCGATTCGGGTTGATAAGTTAAAAGAATACAAAAGTAAACCAAGAATGAAGGTAAACTCTCATACTAAGCATGTGAGGAATAAAAGTGGTCATTTCATTGATTTATTTCCATGCCAGGAAGCTGTGGGGAAGAATGAGGAAGAGACTCAAAGGAGGACACAGTGAGTTCCTCACTCCATTGATCTCTCTCTAGTACTGAGAAGCAACTCGGCTCCTCTCCTCTCCATCAGCATTGGGTACGACTGCATTCTAAAGCAGTAATAAATGATTATTTAGAAATTATGACACAGTTCATAATATTCACAGAATGGAACGTGTGCAGAGGAGGGCAACTAGGATGACCAAGCGTCTAGAAGCCAAGCCTTCTGAAGATCAGGAAGCGAGGAGACTGAGGAGAGATATGAGAGCCCTCTCCAAATATCTGAAGGGCTGTCACAAGGAGGGTGGAACAAGCTTGTTTTCTCCTGCTCTGGAGGGCAGGACTCGAACCCATGGCTTCAAGTTGCAGGAAATGAGATTCCGACTAGACATAGTCTAGCGGCCGCCGAGACCATATAACACCAGTCTTGAAAGACCTACACTGGCTCCCAGTACGTTTCCGAGCACAATTCAAAGTGTTAGTGCTGACCTTAAAAGCCCTAAACGACCTCGGTCCAGTATACCTGAAGGAGTGCTTCCACCCCCATCGTTCTGCCCGGACACTGAGGTCCAGCGCTGAGGGCCTTCTGGCGGTTCCCTCACTGCGAGAAGCCAAGTTACAGGGAGCCAGGCAGAGGGCCTTCTCGGTAGTGGCACCCACCCTGTAGAACGCCCTCCCACCAGATATCAAAGAAAAAAATAACTACCAAACTTTTAGAAGACACCTGAAGGCAGCCCTGTTTAGGGCAGCTTTTAATGTTTGATGTATTACTGTATTTTAATATTTGGTTGGAAGCCGCCCAGAGTGGCTGGGGAAGCCCAGCCAAATGGGCGGGGTATAAATAAGAAATTATTATTATTATTATTATTATTATTATTATTATTATTATTACTACTACCCCGCCCATCCGGTTGGGTTTCCCCAGCCACTCTGCGCAGCTTACAGCATATCTAAAAATAAAATAAAAACATCAAGCATTAAAAAGCTCCCAGTAAAAGGCTGTCTTCAGGTGCAGTTTCTCCTCATCATTATAATTTACAGTGGTGCCCCGCAAGACGAATGCCTCGCAAGACGGAAAACCCGCTAGACGAAAGGGTTTTCCGTTTTGGAGGTGCTTCGCAAAACGAATTTCCTATGGGCTTGCTTTGCAAGACGAAAATGTCTTGCGAGTTCCTGCAGGGTTTTTTTCCTTTCCCCGCCCCTTTTTCCCAAGCCGCTAAGCCGCTTATCAGCTGATCCGCTAAGCCGCTTAACAGCTGATCCGCTAAGCCGCTTAACAGCTGATCCGCTAAGCCGCTTATCGGCTGATCCGCTAAGCCGCTTAACGGCTGATCCGCTAAGCCGCTTAACGGCTGATCCGCTAAGCCGCTTAACGGCTGATCCGCTAAGCCGCTTAACGGCTGATCCGCTAAGCCGCTTATCGGCTGATCCGCTAAGCCGCTTATCGGCTGATCCGCTAAGCCGCTTAACAGCTGATCCGCTAAGCCGCTTAACAGCTGATCCGCTAAGCCGCTTATCAACTGATCCGCTAAGCCCGCTAAGCCGCTAATAGCGCTAATCCGCTAATGGGCTTGCTTCGCAAGACGAAAAAACTGCAAGACGAAGAGACTCGCGGAATGGATTCTTTTCGTCTTGCGAGGCACCACTGTATCATGATTTTATTTTATTTTTTGGAAGCTTTACAAAAAGGAAAACACACACCACTAAATAGATTTTAGAAAAGGGCAAGATTAGATGCAAATGCACAAAGCATTTTTTTTTTTAAAAAAACAAGCTTCCTTGAGCTCTGCTTTGTTCCTGCCCCTCAGAGCCAGGGCATCATGCCAGGCAGGGCCTTGGCAATGGCAGCCCCCCTCCTTCCCTGCTCTCCTGAAGCTGCTCCGAGCAGCACAAGGAAGGAGGCTGGGAGTGGTAGCGATGGAGAGGCAATGGGATGCTCCCTCACAGCTGCCCCTTGGGATCAGGGCCAGATCCCCCTCCTCTTCCAGCTCAGTGGCAAAGAGGGACATTCCGGGATCAAATCAGAAGCCGGGACGTCTTTCGTAATTCCAAGACTCCCTGGAAAATCAGGACACTTGGAGGGTTGTTGTTGTTGTTTAGTCGTTTAGTCGTGTCCGACTGTTCGTGACCCCATGGACCAGAGCACGCCAGGCACTCCTGTCTTCCACTGCCTCCCGCAGTTTGGTCAAACTCATGTTCGTAGCTTCGAGAACATTGTCCCACCATCTTGTCCTCTGTCATCCCCTTCTCCTTGTGCCCTCCATCTTTCCCAACATCAGGGTCTTTTCCAGGGAGTCTTCTCTTCTCATGAGGTGGCCAAAGTATTGGAGCCTCAGCTTCAGGATCTGTCCTTCCAGTGAGCACTCAGGGCTGAGTTCCTCCATAATGGATAATGGACTCTCAAGAGTCTCCTCCAGCACCAGAATTCAAAAGCATCCATTCTTCGGCAATCTGCCTTCTTTATGGTCCAGCTCTCACTTCCATACATCACTACTGGGAAAACCATAGCTTTTACTATACGGACCTTTGTTGGCAAGGTGATGTCTCTGCTTTTTAAGATGCTGTCTAGGTTTGCCATTGCTTTTCTCCCAAGAAGCAGGCGTCTTTTAATTTCGTGACTGCTGTCACTGTCTGCTGTGATCATGGAGCCCAAGAAAGTAAAATCTCTCACTGCCTCCATTTCTTCCCCTTCTATTTGCCAGGAGGTGATGGGCACTGGTCTCATCACTTGGAGGGTAGGTTCTTACAGTTGGATATGGGCTCACTGGCAGAGGAAGAGGAGTGCGGGGGCAGCGCACCGCCCTCGGCAGCACGATCCCCAGGGTGCCATCACAGCTGCCCCCCTGCCCTTGCTGGGCGCCCTGCCCCCGCAGGCAGCGCGCCCTGCCCCCGGGACGCGTGCCAGCCCCACCCCCACCTGCTCTCCGCCACTGTAGGGACTGCACCCTTGCATTTGCACCAATAATAATAATAATAATAATAATAATAATAAATACTACTACTATTACTACTACTACTACTACTACTACTACTAATATTTGCATCCTGTATGGACTGCACCCTTGCATTTCCCTTGCATTTGCACCAAAAATAATAATAATAATAATAATAATAATAATAATAATAATAATAATAATAATTGCATCCTGTATGGACTGCACCCTTGCATTTCCCTTGCATTTGCACCAAAAATAATAATAATAATAAATAATAATAATAAATAATAAATAATAATAATAATAATAATAATAATAATAATTGCATCCTGTATGGACTGCACCCCTGCATTTCCCTTGCATTTCCACCAATAATAATAATAATAATAATAATAATAATAATAATAATAATAATAGCAGCATCCTGTATGGACTGCACCCTTGCATTTCCCTTGCATTTGCACCCTTAATAATAACAATAAATAATAATAATTGCATCCTGTATGGACTGCACCCTTGCATTTCCCTTGCATTTGCACCCTTAATAATAATAATAACAATAAATAATAATAATAATTGCATCCTGTATGGACTGCACCCTTGCATTTCCCTTGCATTTGCACCCTTAATAATAATAATAACAATAAATAATAATAATAATTGCATCCTGTATGGACTGCACCCTTGCATTTCCCCTGCATTTGCACCAATAATAATAATAATAATAGTAATAATAATAGTAATAATAATAATAATAATAATAATAATAATAATAATAATAATTGCATCCTGTATGGACTGCACCTTTGCATTTCCCTTGCATTTGCAGACCCCCCTTGCCCTGTTACCTTTTTCCGAGCCTGCTGGTCTTTGGAGGAATGGGCCTTCACGTGCTTCCTTAGAGAGCTCGGATCTGTGTATCGTTTGGTGCATCCAGGAATCTGGCAAGCGTAAGGTTTCTGAAGCAAACAGAGGAAAGGTTCTTCGGTCACTTTTTAAGATACATACACCTATGTTTCTTTAAAGCCTGTGGGTTTGAGACTCAAACTGTAATGCAATTAACCATAGTGAATAATGCCACAAGCAGAGTGGTCATGACACTGAAAACACAGCTAAGAGATAGAAAGTAAGGAAGACTGGTAAGAAAGAGAAAGGGAACCGTTTGCTTTCTTTCTACAAGTGTCTTTTGTTATTTCATATATTTCATATGAATATCTTTGATAGTTTATTTTTATTTTTAACTGCTTACTTGCTCATCAGCCTGCATTGACAAATAGTGAAGTTTATGTGGGAAGCAAAAGGTCAGTTTGGCTGGGTGAGGGGAAATCTCAGCCCGGGCCCAGGGCATGGTGGATGCCCATTGGTGCAAAAAGTGGCAAAGGCAGGAGTGACTGAATTTCACACACTGATCAAATAAATCATTATCTCCACTTGTACTTACAATTATGTAACCCCCATAGAAACCTTTGGTATAGTCAGAGATTACATTTCTTTAGTGGGCCAGGAAAAGAAGCTGTGGAAAAGTCCCAGACATAGAGATATAGAAGAAACCTGCTTCAGAAGAGAGAAGGAAGGGGAAAGGTTAGTCGGATATGGCAGACAAGAAATCAAAGCAGAAAGCAAACTCTACATTTGAAAGCTTCAACAATATTGAAGGCTATACAAAGAATCTTCAGGGGTTGTTTATTGAAGTTTTTGACTTTAAACACTAATTATAAACATGCACTGCTATCAATACAAGCTTTTAAAAGAACGTTAGAGCTTATTTGAAAAAGTTGTGTTTTGCCATTGTTTCATTTGCATTACTAGCCAGAATTGTACCATCGTAATTTTGTTCCATTCATCACAATTTCCTTCATGAGCAACAGTTGCCATGCAGGAAGGTATTTGTATAACACAGTGCCATTAGAGTGAAACACTTTCCCAGGTGTTTTTAGGCCTGATCTACACGGGTGGCGCTGTGGGTTAAACCACAGAGCCTAGGACTTGCCGATCAGAAGGTCGGCGGTTTGAATCTGCGTGACGGGGTGAGTTCCCGTTGCTTGGTCCCTGCTCCTGCCAACCTAGCAGTTCGAAAGCACGTCAAAGTGCAAGTAGATAAATACTTCCTCTGGCGGGAAGGTAAATGGCGTTTCTGTGCGCTGCTCTGGTTCGCCAGAAGCTGCTTAGTCATGCTTGCCACATGACCTGGAAACTGTACGCCGGCTCCCTCGGCCAATAAAGCGAGATGAGCGCCGCAACCCCAGAGTTGGTCACGACTAGACCTAATGGTCAGGGGTCCCTTTACCTTTACTTTTACCTATGCATTTCAACCAATAACTCTTATACTTAATTATTTATGATATGGGCTGTTTTTTGTGTAGGAAATTGTAATGAACGAAGCATCTTCTGCAAGATGCAAGCTTAAATAAAAACAAATTAGCACATACTTTCACCTGCCTTTGGGTACAGTATTACTCCACAAGCACTGGAAAATCATGGCCGTGAACCAATTCTTGTCATCTTCAAACAGCCATTTTCTTGGGACCCAAATGAGACTCACAACTCTAATGCAGATGTGCATCCTGATGCGTGCGCGCGCACACACACACACACACACACACACACACACATCAACAATGGCCTGGTTCGTATGTAACAATATGGCATAATGTGAACGAACATAGTTGTGCAAAGTGTCCTATTGTGAGCCAAGCCATGCTTTGGCATAGCATTGCATCCAAACATGGACTTGGGGTTTGTCTTGCTGTAAACAAACCAGAAGTTGTAGACAAGCTTGTTCTTGGTTTACCAGTTATGATCTATTTCGGGGAGGCAACCCATGAGCCTCGGTTAGCAAACTAAATCATGGTTTGAGGCCTGGTTGTGCAGCAGGGGAGGAGAGAAGCAGCCATGATGTTCATACTCTGCACCAGTGCACTTGCTCATTCCTGCTAAGCCACTGTTTGGCATAGTGTTACATGTGAACAAGGCCACTGCGTGCAAGTCAAAGCCAACTTACTTCCATGGGTGTTCCTTGCTGGATTCAGGAGCAAAAGTTGACTAAAACAGATGCACATTAGTATGTGCATTGAAATTGATCGAAATTATTGAGAAGTCAACATCTGAATGTATACATGAACATTTTATATCATGCTTTGCCTGTGACCTGTTGTAGGCAAGTATTCTAAACTCTTTTTACTTAGTGTACAATCTAATATTAATCCATAGCTTTGCTAATTAATGACTTGCATGCCACTGCTTTGCATAGCATCCTGTGTGATGATGAGTTCCGGAGACATTTTGGTTGGTCCCAATAAAGTTGCTGTCCAACTGTGGTTTTCTCATAGAACAACACAGCTACTGTTGCTTTCTACATTCCAAACTCTTTTAGTGGAATATATTGTGTGTATTAGGGATGCGGGTGGCGCTGTGGGCTAAACCACAGAGCCTAGGACTTGCCGATCGGAAGGTTGGCGGTTCGAATCCCCGCGACGGGGTGAGCTCCCGTTGCTCAGTCCCTGCTCCTGCCAACCGAGCAGTTCAAAAGCATGTCAAAGTGCAAGTAGATAAATAGGTGCAGTTTGCACTTTGACATGCTTTGAACTGCTAGGTTGGCAGGAGCAGGGACCGAGCAACGGTAGCTCACCCAGTTGCGGGGATTCGAACCGCCGACCCTCTGATCGGCAAGTCCTAGGCTCTGTGGTTTAACCCACAGTGCCACCTGCGTCCCTTAGGACTCAGCTACACAGCTGCAAATAAAACATTTTAAATGTGTTGTAAAGTGCAATTTACAAATGTGACACTAGATGGCAACAGTGAGCTATGCAAAATTCAATGTATTTTTCAAAATGTTTTTTAAAAAGCATTTTCACAGTGTTGTTTTTTTAAATATATATGTGTAGATTCCACCCTGGTCATACATAGAGCAGGCCCACTGGAATCAATGGGACTTCAGCCAGGACCAATTGAAGGCCCACTGATTTCAATGGGTCTGCGCTTAAGTGTGATTCAATCTTCATCTAACCTTCTGCCTCTGCCCCAAATTCTCCATAGCCAACGATCTCCCCTTTCAAAGTTCTAATTGCAGAGAACAAGAGCTACAGCAGAGTCAAAGCAGGAGAGCAATCTGAAATGCCGTTCTTCCCTTACCGTGTCCAGGTGAGTCCTTTGATGCTTGGCTCGGTCGCTGGAATTACTGAATGCTTTTTGACAGCCTGGATGCTGGCAAAGGTAAGGCTTTTCTCCCGTGTGGCTCCTTAAGTGAATCTTGAGGTTTTCTAGTCTAGAAAAGGCCTTCTTGCAGCCTTCAAACTGTGGAGCAAAAGAACACTGCTAAGATTGACGAAAAGGGGAAGGGGGAAGGAACTCCCCCCCTTTTTTGAGCAAATGCTTCTTGCACATTCAGGTTAATTGCCTGATTTTGAAACAAGGCTGCAGCCTGTGAACGAGTGTGAGGGAGAGAATTAGTGTCATAGGATTATGGCCGCCGTCTCCACTTTGGTTGTTCGCAGGCTCATCCAAGTATCTGAACAGAGCCGATAAGTAGATAGCTCTGTGTGTTCAGGAAACCTGGGATTCAGCTATACAGCTGCAAATATAATGTTAAAGGGCATTTTAAGTGTATTATACAAATATGACACTAGATGGCGCTGATGAGCTAATGGAAGATTCCATATATATTTAAAAACTTTAAAAAATATATAATTCGCAGCATTTTTGATATATGCGTCTATTCAGCCATGGAAATGACAGAAGCCCTCCCTGTGTGCAACCAACATCCACACCTTCTGATAAATGTGTGGTGTACCCTAATACATGGGTAGGCAAACTAAGGCCCAGGAGCCGGAGCCGGCCCAATCGCCTTCTCAATCCGACCCACGGACAGTCCAGGAATCAGCATGTTTTTACATGAGTAGAATGTGTCTTTTTATTTAAAATGCATCTCTGGGTTATTTGTGTGGCATAGGAATTCATTCATCCCCCCCAATATAGTCCAGCCCCCCACAAGGTCTGATGGACAGTGGGCCGACCCCCAGCTGAAAAAGTTTGCTGACCCCTGCTCTAATGCATTCCCTAACACTTCAACGGATGAGTCCCGAGCAAAGACTTTGGCTTGCACAATGGGGCTTTCTCCCCAACAGCCCCCCAAATTGGCATGGGTGGGGGTTGGAGAGGAGAGATTGCTCTGGCTGGCAAGCCCCGACGGAACAATCAACGGAGCGCAATGTTGAATTACTCCCCATACATTTCAGTCATGTGGCTTACATCCCACAGAGCTACAATTCCCAGCACCCTTAACAAACTACAGTTCCCAGGAATTTGGAGGGGAGGTCATGTGCTTTAAATGTGTTTTAAAGGTATGGTTTGTAAGCAGCCTGAAAATCTTTATTAGTCATGTATTGCTGAGTACAGTGGTACCTCGAGTTACATACGCTTCAGGTTACATACGCTTCAGGTTACAGACTCCACTAACCCAGAAATAGTGCTTCAAGTTAAGAACTTTGCTTCAGGATGAGAACAGAAATTGTGCTCCAGCAGCGCGGCAGCAGCAGGAGGCCCCATTACCTAAAGTGGTGCTTCAGGTTAAGAGCAGTTTCAGGTTAAGTACGGACCTCCGGAATGAATTAAGTACTTAACCCGAGGTACCACTGTAGTTAAAAGATTCCCCATGCCTGCTTTAAAGTCTCGTGCACATTGAATGTGTGATATTATTATTATTATTACTATCATCATCATCAACAACAGCAGCAGCAGCAACAACTGCAAATAGATTCTTATGGAATGACTGCAAATAGTGTTAGATTACCTCAGAATTAGGCATTAAGTCCACAGTGATAGACTGACATTTCTCAGAATGACATTTTTCTAAACGGGACAAAAACAGGCATGGTTTTCTTTCCTAATAGGATTTTAGGCTTAGTTAGCTTATTCCCAAATTAGCTACAATTAGGTGCTGAAACATGAACCAAGTTGATTTCAGTTATATTTTCAAATGGGAACGTTCATAACTTCTGAGTTATTAAAGCATAAGTATGAAAGAGGATGTAGCACCTTAACCACAATTAATCATTTCAATACTTGTCAAGCTTTTGCCATTTTAAGACCTTTTAACACTCATAGAAGTAAGCCTGAATCATCCAGACTTTCTGGAAGCATAAAAATTTCATGGATTTAGTGAAATAATATAAAAAGAACGGAATTCTGTAATGTTTTCCTGGTTACTGTATTTTATTCTGTACTGTAACATTTAAACCGATGCTGTAAACTAACTTATAAAGATAATTTCCTGGACTATGTTTTTTAATTTTGTGTTCTTACTAATCAAATGGAGGTTGAATCTATTTACATGTAGATTCCCCCCTCTTTATAGAGGATATATATACAGCACTAATTGAAATAAGAGGTTTTAAAACACTAAAGTTTATAGTGAAGGTTATGAACAAGGGAAATGTGAATTATTATATTAATTTCGCTATGAATGAATGAATTCATTATAGATGGCTGGCTTTCTCTCACTGAGAGGAAAACTATACATGATTATCCATTGTGAGAGGGTGCTATTCCTTGACTTTTTCCTTCTTTCTAGCAGGCTTAAATCTGAAGTGGAATATACCCAGGGATGGGACCCTGGAGGCTTCTTAACCAGTCAGCTGTTGCTATGTTGACATGCTGGGGGGGGGAGATAACACTTTTAGCTCCTGGGGGGGCAGATGGAGGCTATTTTTAGCAGAGAAACTGCTGGAGGCGAAGTTGTTCTCAACATAGCTTTCGAGATGTTACAAAACTTATACCCGCTAAGCCACTTGCAACAATCAAGTTCAACGCCCGGCTGGCATCGTGTGTTTTTCATGTCCCAAAAAGAATCTATTTTGTATGGAAGTGTGTGTGAAGAGGTCATGCAAGCACTTGTGATGCTTCTCTTCGCAATCTCTGAGTCCCTCTCTTATAATAATAATTCTAAAGTGCCTCTACAACAGACACAGAGATTTCGTACACTCGGAGGCCCAAGACAACCCAATTACTGGAAAAGTCTGAACGCTGAGCTGTTTTCCCCCATTCATTTTGTGTGTGAAAAATACATAAAGTGTCCTTCATGAATAACAGAGCCCTTTTCTGCAGGAGAAATACCAAACCAAGCCATGTATTCAGTGGGTTGCAAAATGTGGCCATTGCCCCTTCCTACCCTTGACTAAGAGATTGACAGATGCACTTTGCACGTCCACATAGTTTAGACCTGACAAAGTCAATCACCACAGAGATGCACCTTTTTTTGTATTTATAAAAGCTGAAAATCTTAGCACTGGAAAAAAGATCACTGGAACTTTAGACTGTACACTCCTTTCACATGTAACTGCCTTTTGTTCTTGGGCTCCAATCTTCTGTACACTTACATGGGAGTAAAGCCCCAATGAACAATACAGGACTTTAAAGGTAAGGTACCCCTGCCCGTACGGGCCAGTCTTGCCAGACTCTAGGGTTGTGCGCCATTCTCACTCTAGAGACCGGGAGCCAGCGCTGTCCGCAGACACTTCCGGGTCACGTGGCCCAGCGTGACGAAGGTGCTCTGGCGAACCGCACAGAGCAGCACACGGAACGCCGTTTACCTTCCCACTATAAAGCGGTACCTATTTATCTTCTTGCACTTGAGGGTGCTTCGAACTGCTAGGTGGGCAGGAGCTGGGACCGAACGACGGGAGCTCACCCCGCCGCGGGGATTCGAACCGCCGACCATGGCGATCGGCAAGTCCTAGGCGCTGAGGTTTTACCCACAGCGCCACCCGCATCCCTATACAGGACTTACTTCTGAGTAAACATGGAATCGATTACAACACAACACAGATGCCATGAACATTTGATGGCCGTCTGTATGCATGTACCTATAAATGACGCACACAAACATACTGACTTTGTGGGAACTATTTCTAAGGAAAGATTATTAGGATTGGGCTTCAGGTTTAGTACGTCTCCCCATTTCAGTCCTGGCTGACTTTTCTGTTGTTATTGTGAAGAAAGTAACTATTATGACAAGCTTCTTGGAAGAGAAATTACTTTTGAATGTGTCAGCTGGTAATAATTTGAAAACAATGTGGAATGAAAGCCATCGGAAGAAAAAAACGAAGAACCTGAGAATTAGTTTGCTGCAACTCTTTGTTGGAAAGCAGTTGGAACTTTTCTGCTTTCCAATCTTTTCTGCCTTCCTTTTCCAACTGCTCAAATGCTTGTATGGTTTATTTTTCATTTCTGCCCAATTTTATTGTACTGTAGCTGCCCTCTTTCTTCTTACAAGCCTTCGCATCATAGTCAATGAGTTGAATCCCATAGTTTGCTCCTACTAGCTTGGGGAGGATGAAGTCTGCGGATTCCTGCTTCTCCTGCATCCCCCAGGACCACCTCCATCCTGTTCCAGAGGGATGGGGGACGCTCTGGAGCCATGCAGGAGTTGGCACTGGGGACAGAACTGGCAAAAGTCATCTTCTCCTGCTAACCTGACTTCAACCTCATATTATCATCCAGAACTATCCCATTTGCACGTGTGTGTGTGTGTGTGTGTGTGTGTAGTGCCGTTTTTACGTAACAGTGGTACCTTGGGTTACATACGCTTCAGGTTACATACGCTTCAGTTACAGCCTCTGCTAATCCAGAAATAGTGCTTCAGGTTAAGAACTTTGCTTCAGGATAAGAACAGCCCAATACAAACCACCCCCCTCTGAAGCTGCCATTAGTTGTGGAAGGAGAAACTTGCCAACTTTAAAATTTAATCCTCCTCCTTACATTCACTTAAGACTTCCTGCCAAATATAATTTTATTTTCTATGAGCAAACATTGCAATTTGCTGGATTTCTGTAGCCTATATGGAGTTTTAAGCAGATTTCCATATGTAACTCTATCCAAGCGTACTGGAACGTCCCATCAAATGCAGTGGGACTTATTTCTGAGTTCACAGTGTACATCTTCTTTAAAAACAAAACGAGCATGGTTCACAACGAAGAACATGGAAAAAGCAGTGATTGCACCTTTTGATTTCTCAATAGCATAGAATTTATTTTAAAAATGCTAAAATACACTGAAGAACCTTCATAAACATAGGTCTCATGGTCAGGGGTATTATTTGCTTATGGGAAAAGAGAGCCCTTAAAATAAATGGCTGTGTTTTGATGTCTTCAAATTGTTCAGATAAACTAACACTGATTTTTAATTACAGCTTGAAGAGTTCTCATTAAAATGGAGCATTGGATAGTATAATTCTCTGAGTTATTTATGTGCATTAACATCAGATTTTGAATGATTGAGGTAGAACACCATAATGTGCACAGACAGAAGGATCTGCATTGAAATGAAATTCAGTGGTACCTCAGGTTAAGTACTTAATTGTTCCGGAGGTCCGTTCTTAACCTGAAACTGTTCTTAACCTGAAGCACCACTTTAGCTAATGGGGGCCTCCTGCTGCTGCCGTGCTGCCGGAGCACGATTTCTGTTCTCATCCTGAAGCAAAGTTCTTAACCTGAGGTAATATTTCTGGTTAGCGGAGTCTGTAACCTGAAGCGTATGTAACTCGAGGTACCACTGTATACCCCTGTGATGAGTACCATTCCTCCTCTCTTCCTAGGCATGCCTTATGTCCGTTATTTAAAAAAAATACAACAAAAATATGTTGTGCTTCGGTTATCAACATTTATAAATTGCAGCACCTACATGGTAATTCTTCCTGAGCAAGAATTTAGCACTGAGCAGGTGGCTCACTGCAGGATGCTATTATTTGATTAGCGTATATTAACATCTCACATCTACATGCTTTTATGTAATAAACCAGTCTGGAAAACATTCTGCATTTTCTATCAGATACACTCTCACCTTCATTCAATTACCCTTAGTTGAAAACAAATTAAATTAATATAGCCTAATATTTAAAACCTAACCAGCCTCCTCTTCTGGGCACAGCTATTTTTCATTCTCTCTTTTTTTTTTGCCCAGGGTGAAATACAAAACAGAATATTCAATTAGTGGTTCAAGAGAAAGATTGCCAAAAAGAACAGTTGGATTAAAAAGAAAAAGGCAAAAGGACTTGCATTTGAAGCGGTGGGAGTCCATCAGAGTAACAAACAGGCTGAGAATGTTTCTCTTTTTCTCTCCACAAGTAATCCATATGCAAATTTTCTGCAACATTCAGTATGTACTTCCTAGCTCTGTAAACATTTTTCTATTCTTTGCTGTTTAGCTCCCTCTGCTTTTTTCAATTAGGCCCTATTTGTTTAGAAAAGGATTAAGCTCTGTATCTTACGGAGAATAATTTAAAACTAGAAATATACAAGAAATTCTTTTGGAATCCATGTTTGCATTCTGCTGGGAACTGTAAATACAAAGTGGGCAGGGGGGGCAGGGGTTTCATCCTTCATTTTAGATGCTCAGCCCAAGTGCCACTTCTAACATTCATGACACATCAGGCAACAGCCACACACGTCACACGCTGCCTTTCCAGAAACCACCTTTTCTGTCGTCAGTAGAAGAAGAAGAAGAGTTTGGATTTGATATCCCGCCTTTCACTCCCCTTCAGGAGTCTCAAAGCGGCTAACAATCTCCTTTCCCTTCCTCCCCACAACAAACACTCTGTGAGGTGAGTGGGGCTGAGAGACTTCAGAGAAGTGTGACTAGCCCAAGGTCACCCAGCAGCTGCATGTGGAGGAGCGGAGTCGCGAACCCAGTTCCCCAGATTACGAGACTACCGCTCTTAACCACTACACCACACTGGCTCTCTCTAGCGTATTCTGTGGCCATGCAAGGAAGGCCTCGTGGGTCATGCCCACGGTGGGCACCTGCACAGCTGGGCCCCTGCCTGCTGCTTCCTCTGCAAAAACAGATGGGCTTCGGAGTTCTTGCCTCACCAATATTAAACGTAAAAAAATAAATATCTAAACAAACAGACAAACAAACAAACTGAAAAGAATAAACAAAATGTGTGCTGTTTTAGCGGATATTTCATCTTGTAAGTCGTAAGACTGGTCTTTCCATTTTTACTACGCTATATTTGTAGCTCTAGAGAATTTATAAAGGTAAAGGGACCCCTGACCATTAGGTCCAGTCGTTGCCGACTCTGGGGTTTACTGGCCGAGGGAGCTGTCATACAGCCTCTGGGTCATGTGGCCAGCATGACTAAGCCGCTTCTGGCGAACCAGAGCAGCGCACGGAAATGCTGTTTACCTTCCCGCCGGAGCGGTACCTATTTATCTACTTGCACTTTGAGGTGCTTTCGAACTGCTAGGTGGGCAGGAGAGAGAATTTATACCCACTGCCATTTTTCCACTTACACATAATTTACTATTCCTGTTATACTGTGGTGTCAGTTTTAAAAATTAGATTTTTAAAATAAATTGGATTTTTAAAAATTAAAACAAAAACCCATGCATATGTATGCACAAATAGCTGACCAGATTTCCAAATTGTAATAATTATCATAGTTCTAAATGCCTCTCATACAGCCAACTTCCTCATCACTGTCTGCGTTAACTTTATACCATGAGCAAGGTTGAAAGCTCTGATTGTTCCTCTTAAAGTCGAATGGCTTGAAATAAAGCCAGTTGATACATTTGTACACATAAAGATGCTGGTGGCAGTCCCCCCCCCCCCAGAACGGTAAAATTGGCCTGCCAAGAGAATTTGGGTATTTGAACACATTCCCCGTTTGGCTGAGCTAACCAGTTATTCTGCACATGCTATCAAACTGCAGACTTTCCTTTCTTGAGATCATTAAGCTTGTCAAAACGAATTTGTCACCCCGAACGGCCGGCCCTCATTGCCTCTGACAGCAGCACAAGTATCAAAACTTAACAGCGCCTTGCATCAGAAGGATGCAAATGTCTGATCAGAGCTCCATTGCATGTTCTGATTGTTTGGTGCAAAAAGGCCTTCTGATCTCCTAAGACAAGGGACAGGATCAGTTAAGTTACACGGGTCACAACAGTCATGTAGTAATCTTTTTTTGGGGGGCGGGGCGTGGGGAGAACAATAAGCAAGCCTGGAGGATGAACAAAGGGAACTTGGAAGACTGAATTCAGCTGGAGTTTAGTTTCTGAGGACCAGGGTTATCTTTTTAGTTTCTACACACAAGTGGAAAAACTTGGAAACAGCATTGATTTCAGAGTTGAATAGTTTGTAGCTCTTGCTTGAAAAAGAAATTATTAAAGGGTCACCAGAGCCAGGGGCTATTTTTCTAGAAAAAGGGGTGCTGTAACTCACCCTGAAGGCCTCCCTTGTTGTCTTATAACGGCAATGGCACCCACCTGAGAGGTACCAGAACTCAGTTCCGGAAAGTTCTGGCTGAAAAAAAGCCCTGACTAGAACAAAGTTTAAAAAGAAGATGTCTGGTGATTTAAAATAAATTTCACTTTGGGATTAATAAACAATATGTGAAATGCAGTAATGCCTGTGTTTTTAAATAGCAACTTGGAAAGTCCAGTCAGGATTGGGGCTGTTGCACAGCGAGGAGGACCTTTCCAGTTGCCTCCTCTTGTGCCACAAATTGGATGCAAATTCCATTCCTTCCCCGTATGGGGGTCACATAAGCCACGCGCCCCTCCCTAGCAAGAAGAGGAGAGATGGACTCTCTCACAGGGTTGCCATATTTCAAAAAGTGAAAATCCAGACACAACACTGTTGAAGGTTTTTTTGGCAAAGTTGTTGAGCTCAAAACAACCAAAAATAGGTTCTGCAATTTCCACTGTTTCCGACTGTTGCCTTCCGGCTATGTCTGAGAAGGTCCGGATGTATGGCAGCCCTAGATAATGTGGGCAACACCATGGGGCAACTTGCCCTGTTGGGGAAAGGTGAAGATCAGGCTCTTTGCATCTGCTGCACCCCACACTCCCCACTCTTCCCATC